GTGAAGTGATTTGCTTTCTACTGCTGGGTTCAAGAATTAAATGTTGGTTTTGGATTTCTGCTATTTTACCTATTGACCCTGGAAGTATTTCTACTGAAAGTCAGATAGTTAAGAAATTGGTTTCTGTGTTCTGGAGTCGTGGCCGTGCTGGAGAGCCGCTCGCGGGGGGCAACCGGTGGCCTCGGTAGGGCGTGAAGGGCGGAGCGAAACGCCCCCCTTCCCATGAGGTTTTAGTCGCCCCCACACCCCCGGCTCATACCTGCTGTCCACAAGGCTCCCATGCGGCCGCCATCCTTCTTTCCAGAGAAGAGAGGGCGAATGGGGCAACACTCTTTCCCCTCCGGCAGACTTGATGGCCTGGATTAACGCATAGTCCTTTCACTTTTCTGCTCCAAGCTGCTGGGTTCTGCATTAAGTCCTTGTGCTTCTGGGACTGTGGCCGTGCTGGGGAGCCGCTCGTGGGGGGCAACTGTTGACCTCGGTAGGGCGTGAAGGACGGACCGTAACGCCCCCCTTCTCGTGAGGTTTTAGTCGCCCCCACACCCCCGGCTCATACCTGCTGTCCACAAGGCTCCCATGCGGCCACCATCCTTCTTTCCAGAGAAGAGAGGGCGAATGGAGCAACACCCTTTCCCCTCTGGGCAGAAATGATGGCCTGGGTTAACGCATAGTCCTTTCACTTTTCTGCTTTAAGCTGCTGGGTTCTGCATTAAGTCCTTGTGTTTCTGGGCCTGTGGCCGTGCTCCAAACTTAACTCTGATTTTCAGGGAGAAAGATTGGGTGGTTTACTTCTCATTGATCACTTTGTATATAGAGAGATGTTGCGCGGCTGCATAAGCGGCTGCGCGGTTTTGAGAAAAAGTCCTCGTTCCCGCATACTCGAGCTGTGTTTGTAGAGGCTTCTGGTCACCGGGGTTCCATCTGGGGGAGGCGGGATGCGGCACTTACTCCATCTGGAACTTGCCGGTGATCTCGGCTCTTTTTGGAACCTGTTTTTTTTTTTTTTTCCCCCTCCGGGATCTGTGGTTCCCGCACCCTCCATGTGGTCCTTCTCTTAGTCTGAACGCTTCAAAGATGGCCAGCATTGAAATTTTTTGGTTTGTTTTCTGATTGTTTTGCGGCAACACTTGGCAATGCTCAGGTGTTATTCCTGGCTGTGTACTCAGGAATTTCTCTTGAAGATGCTGAAGGAACATTTGGGGTGCTAGAGATTGAACCTGGGTCAGTTGTGTTAGAGGCAAGTGCCTTTACTTTCTGTACTATCTGCTTTGTACAATGAGAGAGAAGCATTGATTAGGGGAAGAATATGGCAGATTCCACTGCGTGAAGGGGAGGAATTATAGACAGAGCCATCCTTTCCAGGTTAAAAAACAAAAACTGTCCTCCCATTGTTCATCAATTTGCTTGAGCAGGCCCAGTAACATCTCCATTGTGAGACTTCTTGTTACTGTGTTTGGCATATTGAATACTCTCGGTAGCTTGCCAGGCTCTCCTGAGAGGGGTGGAGGAATCGAACCCTGCTCGGCCGGGCTGGCTGTGCGCAAGGCAAACGCCCTACCGCTGCAGGTTAATTAGGGGAGAAATCAAAACCAGTTTTGGCCAAGGAGAATAGCTTAGCTAGACGCTTTAGTGCACATGCTGAATATTTCTAGAAGTTTCTGAAAGCTTTGAATGGTCTCAGTTTGCTTCAACTTTTATAGGGATATGAATAAAGGAGTAGTTTTAAGGTAAGAGTCTCCATAATGAGTCTGAACCTTAGTAAGAGTAATGGAATTGTTACTTAACTTCTGAGAAGCATAAATGTTCAGTTGAAGGGTGGAGACACATTTAAAAGCCAAAAATTTTAAGGAATTTAAGGAGTGGAACCTAGAAAAGGTGTTAGAAAGAAGGCCCTCCATTTATAAGTGTATTCACTAAAATATAGGATTGTGAGTCTTGTTTTTAATTTTTTAAATTTTTTTGCTAAAATTAAAAGGTTATTTTTATTGTAGCGTACACACAAATGTTTAAAAGACAAAGTAAATATAATTTTTTCTACATGAAACGCCATAATTCTTAGTGAGACGCAATAGAGCTGCATTTCAGATGCATAATAAGATTGAGAAAGAGTATAATTACAGCTGTTCAAAAGTAAAGACCCAAGCTTTGTTTCATGCCGAATTTTATTTTTTATGTAGTATCAATTTTAAAAGTACTTTCAGATCCAACTTAAATGTAAAGATATATTTTTGCTTTATCAGATGAATCTTTAACCATATGTTTCTAATAATTCAGATAAAATATGCAGAGTAGTGTATTTTAAAGGAGAATCTATTTTGAAAAGATTCCAAAGTATCTATTTGGACAGGCACTCAACAACTCGATGAAAACTGTTGGAAAAGAAAATCTCTCAGAGTCATTCTCCTCAGACTACCCAAGCCAACTAAACTTGCACAGTTAACACTTCCATAAGACACCAGAAGTTAAGGAATTTAGCTCTTCCTACACTTTTTCTTCAGGCTTTCAAATCAAGTTGTTAATTGATAATAACACCATTAAATTTACCTAGTAAAGAGTTGCATGTAGAAAATCTCTCGCTCTCTCTTTTTCTCTCTCTCTCTTTGATAAGATGAGCATGAGTTTTTTTTACAATTTTTTTATTTATAAAGCTATTGATCATTTAGTTTCAGGCATATATTTCAACACCAATGCCACCACCATTGTCAACTTCCTTCCACCATTTCTAATGCTTACCAGTATCATTTATCAGTCTTTTGGTAGTCTAGAATTAGTTTCCGTCTCTGCTTTATGTTACTATTAAGGCTGCAGTTCTTTTGTGATTTTTGTGGGTCTTTAATCTTACAATATACGAAGGAATTTCCTGGGGCTGGAGTGATAGCACAACGGGTAGGGCATTTGCCTTGCATGCATCCAACCCCGGTTCGATTCCCAGCATACCATATGGTCTCCTAAGCACCGCCAGGAGTAATTCCTGAGTGCATGAGCCAGGAGTAACCCCTGTGCATCCCTGGGTGTGACCCAAAAAAGAAAAAAAAAAGAACTTTCCTACAGAAATCAGTCCATTTCTATGCTACTGAATATTGAGTAGAGATAAAAATTATAGAAAACATCTTATAAGTAGAGATACTTAATTTAGCCTCTCTTTCACTTTCATTATATTCCCTTGAGATTTCTTTAGCAATTATATGCTCATATAGATTATACGTCATGTTGCTCTTTATATCCACATATTTACTAAAGTTAGGTGTTTTTTAATTGAACTAGATAGAGCCCATCACATTTTGGTATGTGAATAAGTGAATATTTTGGTGTTTGAAAGATTCAAAAACTGCTTGCTAACAGAGTCAAAACTACATTTCCATTTGTATTATCATATTTCTTGTGTGTGTGTGTTCGTGTGTGTGCGTGTGTGTGTGTGTTTGGGTCACACCTGGAGGTACTCAAGGCTCACTCCTGGCTCTCTTCAGGTATCCCTCCTGGTGGAGGTCAGGGGACCATTGCCAGTGATCAAACCAGGGTTGGCAATACCCCACCTGCTGAACTATCTCTCTAGCCCCTGTATCATCATATTTCTGATATCATGGGGTCAGAGAGATGATACAGCTTGTACAGTGTTTGCCACAAGGCTCATGGCTCAACTGGCTTTGATCCCTGACACCCCATATGTCCCCCAAGCCCATAAAGAGTAAACCCTGAGCACAGCTGGATGAACCCATCCTTCTCCCCCAAAAAATCCACTCTGATAATACAAAGGTAATTGGAAAATAGCAGAAATGAACATTTCAGTCATTTTGTTTTTCAAGTGCTTCCGACAGAATTAGACTAATACTTCAAGAAAGTATTCTCAGACTTTTATAAATTATCAACTTCTTTTAGATCTATGAGGAGTTATAAAGAAATAGTGAGCTGGGCCAGAGCAATGGTACAGCAGGTAGGCACTTGCCTTGCATATGGCCAACCCGGGTTCAATCCCAGTATCCCAGATGGTCCCTTGAGTCCTCCAGGAATGATTCCTGAGTGCAGATCCAAGAGTGACCCCTGAGCACCACTAAGTGTGGTCCCAAAACCAAAAACCAAAACCAAACCAAAAAAATAAATAAATAAAACTCCGCCCAAACAGTGAACTATATCCTGAGTTTTTATTCTTCATTTTGTACACCTACATATTATAAACTGACCAGTTATATGTAGCTGCATGCTTTATTGTTGTGACTTACATGGGGCCTAAGAATTGGAAGAATATTGTTATTCCATGCAAGTCAGTCTGTTTGGGATTATATATAACTATATGCTTAGAAAGCAAATGGGAATTTACTAAGAAGCTGAGAAATTAACTAAGAATGACCAAAAACCAGAATCTATAGTTGACTGGGCACAATTGTAGGAAGGAAATATGTAATTCGTCATAGGCTATATCACTAAATTCCAAGAAAAGAAAAATGGGGAAAAATCATCTCTAGTGCTGTAATATTTCATTTGATCATCTTTCGGATAACTTTTTCAAGGGAGATGGTTCAGGTCAGATCACTAATCTTACAACATGAACTAAGAAATAGGAAGTCTTTTTATCATGGGAAGTAATTGATTCTTAAGGGAGTTGAAACTCTACAGTAGAGGAGTATTTTTGTCTGTAATTTCTTTGATTCAGTGCCAGAAGCTTTTTGAGAGAGTAATGAAAGCTGTGTCTAAGTTCCATTGTTGAAAACTGTTTCTTTTTAAATAACTGAAGATCTTTCTGTTATGTCTCCTCTGTTGCAAAATTCCTTATGATTATAAAAGCATATTTAAAGTAGAAGTATTGTGGGACAAAAGCTTTATTCTATGGGTTAGATAATACGTCTTTTGTGACAGTTTTCTTTTCCCACCATAAGTGAGAAGTGAATTTCTTTGCCTTGGCACATCCCATTTCTAATGGAGGATAAGAAGTTATTTTCTTCAAAGGCTGGTTTCTACAATTTCTGGCAGAATGCTCTTTGTCAAGCATATGTTCCCTTCTCTAGGCCTTTCTGTATAGAGCCCACAAACATCGTCAATGTGAATGAGGTCATTCAGAGGGTTAGTGACCATGCCTCTGCTATGAACAAGAGGATTCATTACTACAGCCGGCTCTCTGCTCCTACAGACAAGGCACTGGTAAGGGGCAAAGCACTGGTAATTGTCTGAAGTTAAGTTGAAATGAACAGTGAACAACATAAATCAAGGCAACTCCCAGGATTTGAACTTTTCTGCTGGACATGTTCCAAGGACGCCGTCATGGAGAGTCAAAGATAGTCAAAGATAGTAAATACACGTCCTGTGTATTGGGCAAGTTCATTCTCACCTTGCCTGGCATAGAGGAACTTGAAATCGTTTCTCTCTGTTGACAAAGCCTGCAGATTTGTTGGATTAAATTCTGCTTATCCCCAATCCTTTTAAGTAGTTTAGGTCTTTGGTCAAGTATATGAATAATAAGAGGTTGTGGCTAGTCTTTTACATTTGAGGATATAACAGAAAATATTTTTAGAAATCTTGCACAGGAGTAGAAAATTGAAATGTAGACATAGGTATCATAGATTTTTCTTATTTAGTACTATCCTGTTATAATCAAGAGGGATCAAAGGGAAAAAACCTCTTAGGCTTTGCAGCCCACAAACAGTTGTGTGTTCTTCATTTTTTGTTTTATGATTACTGAAATTATAAAAAGCCATTCCTAGCCAAGGGGCTATAAAAAATTAGGTTGTTGATTATTGATGTTCTAAAATCAACTTTTATTTTAGAATAAAAAATACAGTAGATGGTCTGAGAACAAATTCTACACATTATATGTATAAGACCATGAGTTTGTATAATTATATTTATTACATATGAAAAATATACATAAATATTATATACATTATAAATATGATATAATAAGTAACTTGGTTGCATGTGAAAATTACCACAAGATATTGAGAAACTTGAAAGCTTAACGTAAGTTAGAAACATTCTGGAACTGGGAGATTAATTGCTAAAGCACACGAATTGATCTGGTCACTTCATAGATCTCTGTTTAATCCATATAATACCCATATGAAGTTAGTATTAAGATCATTCCCCAGGTTTTTTTTTTTTTCACTTTTCTCTCTCATAGGTTTCACGTAAGTGTGTTTGTAAGTCACAGTTCTGTAACAGAATTGTCACTATGCTCTGGGTAGCAGAATCAATCCAGTATCTTGGTCTAGTTCAAACATCCTAGATCAGAGGCTCAACTTGTAAGAGCAAACCATCTTTTTTGTGGGGCAAGAGGGGAGAATGCATAGGGGGTTCACACCTGGTGGTCCTTTGGGCTTACTCCTAGGCTGTGTGCTCAGGGATTACTTTTGGCAGGCTTGGGGGTTCATATGAGGTGCTAAGGATCAAACATAGGTCGGCCACTTGCAAGGCAAATACCTTACCCGGTACTGTAGCTCGGTGGCCCTGAAACTTCAGAGATCTTAATTTAGCCTTTCTAGGTCTGAGTGTACATTGTTTACTTGGAAATTAAGTTATAGCACTGTACACTAATCCCTTTAGTTAACTGATAGATAATCCTATTATGTCAAAATATATAAGCTGTGACCTAAAATTAACTGTGATTATGAACATTCTTTTTTTGTTTGTTTTTTGTGTTTGGGGCCGTCCATACCCAGCAATGCTTAGGAGTTGCTCGTAGCTCTGCACTTAGTAAAAATCCTTGCTTTGCCTTTTCCTTAAGCTGCTTTGATTCAATTTTCTTCTACTACCAAAGCATTTAAAATAAGTTGGTGTTTAGTATTTTTTTTAACCTCTGTTTACTCCACAATTCTTTATAGTTAGATTTTCCTACCTGATTCTTTGCTGGACTTACCCTTACATAGAAATTTAGTTAATAACTCAATTGTGGAATTTTCCCTCATATGCACAAGTATCTCTATCTAGAATTTGTTAATCTCTGTCTTTGCAGGCTTCTTTTTCTTTCTCTTAAAAATAAAGAGAAAAATACTTTGATAGCGCATATTCTCAAAATTAATTCTCATTTCCAATGATGTATGTTGTTTATAGTCATTAAACTCTGATTCCTTTAGATATCCCTATACATTTGGAAAATGATTTTCGTATTCATTTGTAAGGGTGCATATTGTTTATTCATCTATTTAGAAAAATGCCAAGAGTCAAGTGTTCTGACGTAAAGAAAATATTTTATTTTGCATATAAACTGTTTCAGACATTCTTAGTTCTTTTCTTTTTCTTTTTTTTTTTTAAACCAGATTGCTCCAGATCATGTAGTACCAACTCCTGAAGAGTGCTATGTGTATAGTCCATTGGGCTCTGCCTATAAACTTCAGAAGCATACTGAAGGACATGGCAAAAACACCAGCTTTGTTACCATGTGAGTAAAAATACTTTTGGGAAATAACTTCAAAAAAATTGTGTGTGTGTGTGTGTGTGTGTGTGTGTGTAACATATATATGAAAGTTATTGATTATTTAAAATTTTATCTTAAAATGTTTGAAAGTCAATCTCCATATTTTTACTTCTCTTATTCTGTGTTTTCAGTTTTATGATATGGAATACCATGATGGGAACATCTATACTAAGTATTCCTTGGGGCATAAAACAGGTAATTAAAATTTTGGGCACATTCTTGCCTGATCTTTTCCTTCGTATTTTAAGTTTTATAATAGATGAATACCTAAATCTATTTAGCATTTATTAAAGAAAGTTAGAAGGCTGTATTTAATTTTCCATTATTTGCCAGGTCTTAATCATAATTTTTAAGAATAATGTAATGTGGCTGCATATGAATTTATTGTAACATAATGATACATGTTTGTTTTTATTTTTTAAACAGGCAGGATTTACTACTGGAATATGCGTCATCATGCTCATGGGCCTTTTAACACTTTATTGCTGCTACAGAGTAGTAAAATCACGTTGCATGATAAGTAAGAATTTGCCACAGTGAAAATTGACTATGTTGGAGATTTATAAGTATTTCCTGTCTAGGTAGAATACTAATCTCTATATTGTACTTGTATGTTGACTATTTTTTGCCTGTGAAGAAGAATTTGAAAATAAAAAATTTGAAATGAACTTTAGGTAAAAGTGATTGTTCAGTTAACTTGTTGGCAAATTTAGGCCTAAGTTTGGATAAGTGTTAGTTTAAGGACTTGGCTTGGATCAGGGTTAGAGTTAGGTTTCCTTTTAAAATTATGATAAAGGTTTGATTATGTTTATTTATTTTTTTAATTTTTATTAGTGAGACACCATGAGGTACAGTTGTAGACTTACAAATTTTTGTGCTTGGGTTTCAGTTATACAATGATCGAGTACCCATCCCTCCACCAGTGCCCATTCTCCACCACCACTAATCCCAGTATCCCTCCCACCCTCCATCTCCCATCTCACCCTGCCTCTGTGGCAGGGCATTCCCTTTTGTTCTCTATCTCTTTTTGGGTGCTGTGGTTTGCAAAAGAGGCATTGGGTGGCAGTCATGTTCGGTCTATAGTCTACTTTCAGCATGCATCTTCCATCCTGGGCGGATCTTCCCAACACCCTTTATTTGGTGCTCCCTTCTCTATCTGAGCTGCCTTTACCCCTAGAGCGTGCAGCTGGCCTCCAAGCCATGGCATAAGCCTCCTGGTATTTATCTCGGCTACTCTTGGGTGTTAATCTCCTATTTTGTTACTTTATGTTCCCCAGGTAAATGCAATTTTTTATGTCTTTCCCTCTCTTTCTGACTCATTTCACTTAGCATGATACTTTCCATGTAGTACCATTTGTATGTAAATTTCATGACTTCATCCTTTCTAACAGCTACATAGTACTCCATTGTGTAGATGTACCAAAGTTTCTTTAACTGGTCATCTGTTCTCGGGCACTCAGATTTTTAGGTTTGATTATGTTTAAAGTTGAAAGCAAAAGTTAGGTATTGTGTGATTGTTAAATTTAGGCAAATTGTTAGGTTTAAGCCTGGGCATGTGACCAACCCTCATGGTTTCCTTGCCACCACCTGACCCCTTGTGCCTCATCATGTGCAGCCATGAGGGCCCAGCACAGCATCTCTGGGTGTGGTTCTAGAGTCCCAGAATACTGCCCTAATGGCCCTGATAAAACTTAGCACCACATGCCCTGAGAAGCACTGACTCCTTAAGCTCACAAATAAATGCCCACCCTGGTTGGCCAAAAATCTCTCTGAGTAGGCTGAGCACCACTTGGGAGGCCCTCAAGATATTGGCAGCTTGTATTGACCTGCCTAATTGTTAGAGTCTCCTTGAGTGAAATCTGGGGCTGGTGACAGTACCATGGTAGATTGTATGCCTTACACACAACCAGCCCAGGTTTGATGCCTGGCACCCCATATGGTTCTAGAGCCCTGCCACAAGTGATCCATGAGTATAGAGCCAGATGTGTAAGCCCTGAACTCATCCAGGTGTGGCCCCAAAATAAGCCAATAGAAAAAATATATAAAAAATTATAACTAGAAAAATAAGAAAATATTAGTAACATGTTAATGGTTTTGAATTCTCAGAGTTACACCAGTATCCTACCACCACTCTTCTCTAAAGACTGGATCATGGAATTACCTGTTGATATAGCTTTGATGTAGTTTTGGGGTTGATATGCATAAATTATTTCATTGGCTATTAATAGGTTTGAATAGTAGGCTACGCCACCAATTTTTTTCTGTGTATTTTCTCTAATTGCATTCTTTATTCATATTTCTTTTGTATTTATCCACAGATCACTTGTGGTTCTTATAGATGTGTTAATTTCTTTGTGATATATAAACATTTACTGTTTATGTTATCTCTTGCTGTTTCTCTCTATTCAATATTTGAATGGCTTTTATAGTTGGTTTTATATCTGCCTACCTTTTCTATTGTAATTTTGTTTTCTTCAGTTGATAGAAAAGGATACCTTTCATGGCTGGAGCAATAGTATAGTGGGTAGGGTGTTTGCCTTGCACATAGCCAAACTGGGTTTGATCCCGGGCATCCTATATGGTTCCCTGAGCACTAGGAGTAATTACTGAGTAGAGAGCCAGGAGTAACCCCAAGCATTGCCAGGTATGACCCAAAAAGCAAAAAAAAAGCATAATCTTTTCAAGTTTTTATTTTTACATTGTTTTCTAATTTTTGTGGGATCTGTTTTTAAATTTTTTTATCTTAATTATCAAATTTTAATTGGTGTGTTATAAAATATGACTCAGGAAACCTTTTATTTTTAAATATACCAAATATTATCAGATAATGTCTTCTCTGTCTTACCAATGATCTTCTCTAGTGTTGGCTTATTACTCTTATTATAACATTTTATGATACTATAACTTATTTATCAAGATTTCTACATTATTTCGTTGACATACATTTCTCTTTATGTATTTTATTTATTAAGTTTTACTTGTTACCTCACAGTATATTCTAATATTTGATGATAGAATATTCATAATATTTTGCTAAGTATATTAATTTAAGAAAAAGTTATGAGTATAAAAATATGATGAACATTTACATTTTTCTATTTATTTTTATATAGCATCTGTAGATAGCAGTTCCTGGGAATTCCCCGATGTCTGCAGACATTATTTTGGCTCTTTTGGACAATGGTCAAGTCTCCTTTTCTCCTTGGTCTCCCTCATTGGAGCAATGATAGTTTATTGGGTGCTTATGTCTAACTTTCTTTTTAATACCGGAAAGTTCATTTTTAGTAAGTATCCATATTATCTATCTTAACACACTTACTTTTAGGTATAATAACCCCTGTGGTGTTTTCATTTCAGCCTTAAAATCAGGACTTGTGAATTTAGTAAATCCAAAGTAAAATATAAGATATTCGTAAAGTAAAATATTTTCAGTTCTGGAAAATAAACTGCTTGATCAGTATGTTTTCTCAAACATGTGTGTGCTCATTTCCAAGAACTACTTTTTGAATTCAGAAAATTCTTTCAATTTCTCTAATATAAAATATGTCTAGGCTTCTGGAGGTCTTTTAAGCATTTAAGGTATTTCTACTGTAAACCCCAAGTTTTAGGTTACAGAAAAGTTTTTGAAATGTGTTGGTATTGGTTGCTCCAGAATCTGATATGTCAGGGCCTGGGGCTAGGCCATTGGCAAGATCACCTGCCTTGCATGTGTGAGGCCACGAGACCATCCTGATGCTGCCCCACATGTGTCCAGACAGCTCTGCCGTGGCACTGCTACAACATGTGCTGTCTCCCAAGCACTGCAGCCACATGTGTATGTCCCCAATCACTGAAATCCCCGCAACATCACAAGGGGAAGGAATGAACAGAACTTTGATGTGCAGTTTTAGCAAGAGTGTACAAAGGCTAGGGCACTTGGCTAGCATGTGGCTGCAACGGTGACACTGTTTCAGATCCTGACACCACATATGTGTGGTCCCTGGCACCTCCAGGAAAGGCCCCTGAGCATTGCCAGATCTGGCCCCAAACCAAAACAAAGTGTGAGAACTTAAAATTCAAGAACAGTAGGAGAGTGGAACTTATGATAAACATATTTTCATAACATTGAGTTGTCATGTTTCCCAGGTTAATTCCTTGAATTCCAATAGGAATCATAGAAATTCAGGCCAGATGTGTTAGATGGCATTTTCAGTTGGCAAGAGAAGCTCAATTTTATATTGAATATGAGTCTTAATTTTTCCTTGATGACTGATAGACTTAAAGTGTACTGTATGTAATTTTTCCTTGATGACTGATAGACTTAAGGTGTACTGTATGTTTAGCTGATTTTAAGTAAACCACATGCCATATATTTAAAATTTAGACTTAAAAGGAAAGCAAAACAAAATAAATATTAACAATCATAAGGAGTTAATTTTGCTAAGAGCTTTTGAGGAGAGATGAATAAGGAAGATAAATTCTGTTTTTAGAGCTGGGGAAACATAGGAATGTAGGCACTAAAGCACATGTCTTGCATGCTGCCAAACCCCGTTCAGTCTCCAGCACTGCATGGTCCCCTGAGCACCATCAACATGACCCAAAATCCCCTTCCAAAAAAAAAAAAACCTTGTTTTTAATTTTAAATAAACTAGTATTAAAATGAAGTTTTTTTTTTATTAACAAGCATTTGTTTCACGGCATTTTCACTAATATACAATATTGTTGTTTACTGCATCTTCTTTTAAGGTATTACATCATATGCATGTATCATGATTTTTTTATTCTCAACTTGTTGGATATTTCATTTTCTTTTTAATTACTTTCCTACTTTCAGACAATTCTGTATTAAAAATCTTTGTTGGTCTCCTGGTTTACATGTAGTTAGTTCTCATCTAACTCTCTATAAGAAAATTATCTGGAATCTAGGATATTCACTTTTTCAATTTATTAGAAATCACCACATTTTTCTTAGTAAATTTTTCTTATTATATTGTTATATTCTTCTCAACAGTTTTTGAAAATTCCTCTTGTTTTATAACTTTATCCACAATTTTATCAGACTTGAATTTTGCTACTCACTATTTGAATACACATTTTCCTTTAAAAAGTGTGATAGTAATATCCTTGGACCATTTTTCTGTTGGATTGTTAATATTTTTTTTTTATTTTTTTTTTATTTATTTATTGAATCACTGTGGGAAAGGTTACAAAGCTTTCAGGTTTATGTCTCAGTCATGCAAATATCAAACACATTTCCCTTTACCAATACTTATTTTTTCCCATGAAGAACCCCAATAAAACCCCACCCCCCACCCCTCCCCGTCCCTGTGAGGCAGATGAATTCTAGTTAACACTCTATCCGCTTTGATTAGATTGTTTCAATAAAAGATTCACCACTATTATTTAGAGTTTACCCCCCCCCCCCAAATCAGACATGCTGAAAAAGCATTGTGAAGTGATTTGCTTTCTACAGCTGGGTTCAAGAATTAAATGTTGGTTTTGGATTTCTGCTATTTTACCTATTGACCCTGGAAGTATTTCTACTGAAAGTCAGATAGTTAAGAAATTGGTTTCTGTGTTCTGGAGTCGTGGCCGTGCTGGAGAGCCGCTCGTGGGGGGCAACTGGTGGCCTCGGTAGGGCGTGAAGGGCGGAGCGAAACGCCCCCCTTCCCATGAGGTTTTAGTCGCCCCCACACTCCCGGCTCATACCTGCTGTCCACAAGGCTCCCATGTGGCCGCCATCTTTCTTTCCAGAGAGGAGAGGGCGAATGGGGCAACACCCTTTCCCCTCCGGCAGACTTGATGGGCTGGATCAACGCATAGTCCGTTCACTTTTCTGCTCCAAGCTGCTGGGTTCTGCATTAAGTCTTTGTGCTTCTGGGGCCATGGCCGTGCTGGAGAGCCGCTCGCGGGGGGCGACTGGTGACCTCGGTAGGGCGTGAAGGACAGACCGGAACGCCCCCCGACCCATGAGGTTTTAGTCGCCCCCACTCCCACGGCTCATACCTGCTGTCCACAAGGCTCCCATGTGGCCGCCATCTTTCTTTCCAGAGAGGAGAGGGCGAATGGGGCAACACCCTTTCCCCTCCGGCAGACTTGATGGCCTGGATCAATGCATAGTCCGTTCACTTTTCTGCTCCAAGCTGCTGGGTTCTGCATTAAGTCCTTGTGCTTCTGGGGCCGTGGCCGTGCTGGAGAGCCGCTCGTGGGGGGCAACTGGTGACCTCGGTAGGGCGTGAAGGACGGACCGGAACGCCCCCCTTCCCATGAAGTTTTAGTCGCCCCCACACCCCCGGCTCATACCTGCTGTCCACAAGGCTCCCATGTGGCCGCCATCTTTCTTTCCAGAGGGAGGAGGGCGGAAGGGAGCAACACCCTTTCCCCTCTGGGCAGAAATGATTGCCTGGATTAACGCATAGTCCTTTCACTTTTCTGGATTGTTAATATTTTTCTTGCTTTTTGGAACTCTTTGTAAACTTTGGATACTAATTTATTTATTATTCTGTTGAAAATATCTTCTCTTTATGGCTTGTCTTTACTTCTTATGTGGTGACTCTGTTGTTCAAAATTGTGGAAGGCACCAGGTACTTGGGCGGGGCTTGGAGAATCCCAAGGACTGCTCACGGGGACCTGGGACCACTCCTGGCCGTACTTAACCACTTGTATAAGCAGCACAGTGTGGACAACCAGAGTCACCTAGTGGTGCTGGGGAACTCCAGGGTTACAGCTGACGGTACTGGGGGCACTGTATTGCATGGGGGACAGAACTCCAGACCTTACACATGTGGTCCTGGCCTTCGAACTGTTTCACTAATCACTTTCAGAAGTTTTCAGTTTTACTTTCAAATTATTCAGTCTTTTCCATTATGGTTTCTACCTCAATTTGTCTGTGTCCAAACTTCCCTCTTCTATAGGTACCAGTCATTTATTTAGGGCTCACTCTAGGTCCGTTATATCTGCTGAGATCCAATTATCAAGTAAGATCACATTCTAGGGCTTCTCTTTCTGATGAATGGGTTTGGGAAGACCCTTTAATCCAGTAGACTTGATATCAAAAAGTTACCCTGATGTAAGTTTTCGGCTTCAGGAATTAAAGGAAGGTGCATAGCTTCCAATTTTAAATCATTAACAACCTTAGAAGTACTACAAAGGCTTTAAGTACTAGATTACTTTTGAGAAACATTCAGAGGTAAAAACATTTACATATTATATCTTATGATCTTAATATCATCCAACATGGGTAGAATTCTAATCTTGGACTACCAGGATGTAGGCACTTTTGCCACTGAGCCTTTTACCATGGATGCCCTGGAAGACATGTTTTTTACTCATTCTCTTATTTGCTTAAAATACACATGTGTGGCCATCTGAATGCACTTTTCCATACACTTCCTTTATAATAACTTAGCCGTGCTTATGAGTGATAACTTTATAGCCTTTGGTCTAGAGAAGCATTACTATATTTTGAAAGAAAGAAAGAAAGAAAGAAAGAAAGAAAGAAAGAAAGAAAGAAAGAGTAAGTGGTTTTCTAGGTAAGTTTGATCTTGGAAATGTTAGGTTTCTTCTTTTGCAGACTTAAAACTTAATATAAGATATAAATTGTACTTAGAGACTTTTTTATGAGTATGAAGGGAAAAATATATGCATTATCTTAATCCAGGGCTTTTCATTAAATTCAGCCCTGTAGGTTTTCAACATCCTTGAGTATATAAAAAATTTTCTATGGTAGGGCTGAAATCAGTATCAGTCATGTAAGTGAAGAAAGATGAAGGTGAAGCTGTTAATAGGTATGGTACTATTGGATCAGTAGACTTTTATAGAAAAAATATTTTTTATAAAAATTTTTTAAGAGGATGATTATATAATTTTGAATTCTGTTTCTCTCTTCAATTTCTAGATTTTATTCATCATATTAATGATACTGATACTATACCAAGTACCAATGGTAGCAACCCTGGTAAGTAGTTTGGAATTTAAAGTTTAGTTGATTTTTTATTTTTTTTCATCGGCTGCATAAAAAAGATGTCAGACAGAGCCTATAGCTTTAATTTCAGTAAAGGATTAATGCAGAATCATTACCACTGTTTACTGAGCCACTATTAGTTGAATTGTTGACAAATGGTTAGGGGTTATGTGTTTGTTTTTTTTTGTTGTTGTTGTTGTTTTTTTAAATGTAGGGGTACTGCTCTTTATTCAGCCATTGATTAAGCTAATTGGATTGATCATGAACTCCACATCACCTTTTTTATTTGTAATGTTAATTTTATTTTATTATTTTTATTATTTTTTTTAATCACCGTGAGATAGTTACAAAGCTTTCCTGTTTGAGTTTCAGTCATAAAATGATGCATCACCCAACCTTCCACCACCAAGAACACCAGTTTCCCCCCTTCCTCCTCACCCCTCCCCCTGCCTCTATGCCAGACAACCTCCCCCGTACTCTCTTTTATATTGCTTGTTATGAATAGCATAAGATATCGTGTGGCCACATGCAGCTGTGTGCTCTTGGAATTCTAAAATTTTTGATAAGTAGGGTCTGGAGAAATCTCTGCAGGGAGCTGCTTGGTTCGGAGATTCTTTTGTGTGTCTCTAGATCATGGCCATTAAGTAGCAGCCAGAGGCAGTTTGTGGGCGTGACCTCCAGGATCCCAGGGGAAGAAGCGTGGTGGTAGGAGAAGAACCAGCCGATTCCCTATCCCTTGAGACCTGGACTTTGCAGTCACTGAACCTGCATACCTGTACTTCTCATTGGGTTCTGGAAGTTGGCGGCCGCTGGGGCTTTTAAGGGACAGCTGGAGGGACGACGGCACCATACCCCAGTGACTGTTTAATTTCTTGGGAAATTTGGTCTTGGGTTATTGGGCTAGAGGCACAGCAGCAATTCTGGGATATCAGGAAGCCTGAAGGCACCATCAAGCTGCTGATGTACTTCCCCCCTCAGGTATGGGTTGACCTGCTGGCGATGCCATACCCTCCCTGTTGTTGTTTTTATCGCTTGTTGTACACCATTCCAGCAATATGAAGGGCCATGTGGGACCAGAGATCAAACTCAAGACTTGCAAATGCTAGGCATATACTCTGCTGCATAAACTACATCCCTGGTCTGGGCAATCAGTGAAAAAATATCACCTCTACAGTGTCTATGCCTATGAATAAGCATTAAATTTTTTCAGTAACCTACATTGCAACTTACAATTTTAGGAATCTAGTAGCATTGTTCTCAGTATGCTTAGTTTTAGACATTATTTTGACTACAGATGTTTCAAATAACACAAATCTGTATCTTATTTGTGTTATTTAAAGTTTTCTAAAAGTGAACAGAGATTAGTGAGTACAGAAACGCAAATTGAAGATTTGGGGAAGGAACCTTAATTTCTTGTAAAAAAATTCTTTTAATTTATTTATTTAAAACAGGCCTTTGGGGCATGGGGAGATGCCCAGTGAACTGGAGCATGTGCTTTGAGTGCAGGAGTCCTGGGTTCAGTCACTGGTGCTACATGGTCCCCCAGGAGTAGTCCCCAAGTATTGAGAGGTGTAGTCCAAAATAAAATGAGTAGCACTGTCCTCCTGTTGCTCATCGATTGGCTCGAGCAGGCACCAGTAACATCTCATAACAAATTGTGAGACTTGTTGTTACTGTTTTTGGCATATTGAATACGTCACGGGTAGCTTGCCAAGCTTTGCTGTGTGGGTGAGATACTTTCAGTTGCTTGCCGGGCTCTCTGAGAGGGGCAGAGGAATCAAACTCAGGTTGGCCATGTTGGCTGCACTCAGGGCAAACACCCTACCACTGTCCTATCACTCCAGCGGTAGAGCATTTGCCTTGCGCGCAGCCAAAATAAAATAAAAGCAATTAAAAAATAAACCTTTTTGAGGGATTGAAGTGATAGTACAGGGGTTAAGGCATTTGCTTTTCATGTGGCTGACACCATTTCGGTCCTGGCACTCTGTATGTTCCCCTAAGCACCATTGTGTTTGTACACCATTCCAGCAGTAAGCTCTGAGCGCAACTGGGTGTCACCCCTCTCCAAAAAAGGGTTCCAAAAAAGGGGGGAAACCTATAAATCTGTGTGGCTTATGGTTTCTATGATTTATCTACTCTGGCAGTCATAGGAAAAGTGAATATAAAAGCTAACAATAATTGTATCATTAACCTTGAATATCTTTTAAAGCTTCTATGTGTTTAACTTCAGAGATACTTAATTGATGTCGTTTTGATAGAGCTCTTTTGATCGCTAAGATGACAGCTAATTTGATACATAGTAAACCTTTTATGTATTAGGAACTTTTCCAGGCTCTGGGAATATAACAAACATATGAACATTATCTTTCATGAAGCATACGCCCCAGTGTTTGCTGTTCAGTACCTTATTTTCCCCCTTAATTACACTGATTAGTATTGGGGAAATGACTCAAATTTCTGGAGTACCTGCTTTGCACGTAGGAGCCCTGGTTCAGTCCCCAGCATTGAATGGCTCCCCCAAGCACCACTGCGAGTGACTTCCCTGGGGTATCTCTCACCCAAGATCCTTAGATTTAATCGGCTTCCCCTCTCCCCCTTCCTCACTATTCATTCTTCCTCCTCCTCCCCAACTACCCTAAGAATGCTATGACCCCCTTAAAGAAAATTTCTTTCTGTGAGCCAAGGGCTCTGTGGTCTTTTCTAAGTGGCCGCTTTCCTTTTGCAGTGATTTGTCCCAGTGCTGCGAGTGGCGGTCCTCCTGACAACACCTCTATGATCTTCTACGCCAATGACACCGAACTCCAACAGTTTGAAAAGTGGTGGAATAAATCCAGGACAGTGCCCTTTTACCTCATAGGACTTCTCCTGCCGCTGCTCAATTTCAAATCTCCTTCATTTTTTGCAAAATTTAATATCCTAGGTAAGCCGAGGTATCAGTTGTGGAACCCCACTGCATAGTAGAAAACATGATGGATTCGTGGAAATAGGGGCAGCTGGGGACATATCTGGAAGCCAGTTCATCTGTATTTAATTTGCTCACTCATAAGTTCCCCTGCTTTTTGATTTTTGTGGGGAATTTTGCATGGAGGAAAATGTAGATGACTATTTCGAGTCCAGGTCCCTTTTTCTTCTTCAGACAGGAAGGAGCTGTGTTTCTCATTCTATTCCTTTTGAACAACTTCTCTTTTTCTAACAGGGTACAGGTAGAAGAAGTAGATTAAGATTTTAGAAAAGATCCAAATTAAATGTAATAGGAATCTCAACTCTAAGAATTAAAAACATTAGGACTAAAGGTAGTTAGGATATATTTTTAAAAGTATTTATTGTAGGTTAGGTAAGATGGACAAGTTGTATTGACTTTTATAGTATTGATGTATACAGTAACTGCACCTTCATCACTGCCAAATTGCCCAAGATCCTTTATTCTGAATATAATACCTGTGAATCTGGAACTTTTCCCCCTTTAGCAAGTGGTGCTACCCAATCAAAATTTCATCCAGGTGTTAGATCAGATTGTTCACAGATCTGTGATTTGTAGCTTTTCTCAAGTAGGCTTGTGAGAGGCAGCCACTGCTTTTCTTTCTCTCATCTTTCACTAACCCTCTGTCTTTTTTCTAGACCATTAATTCTAATGCAAATATTAATAGTTACCTTTGTGGTTTATTTTTCTCCTATGTAACTTCACAGTTTCATAATGAACTCTCAGCATGTATCCATTAGCAAACCCAAATTACAAGTAAATTGGGCAGTTTTGCTTTCAGAATGTATCAGCTACCTTCATCTGGTTCTTCTTTAGCCTACTACATAATTTCCTGCTTTGTTTTTTCTCATAGTTTGTTTCTATTATTCAGATTACTCCCTACTAAAATACTGGGGGTAGGGCATTTGCCTTGTGCATGGCTGACCCAGGCTCAATTGCTAGTACACCAGATGATCCCCCAAGCCCACCAGGAGTGATCCTTGAACCCAGGGCCAGGAGTAAGCCCTGAACACCACAGAGTGTGGCCCCAAAACAAATGAAACCAAAAAAAAAAAAAGAAGAAGCCCTTAGGAATAAGGATTCAGTAATTTTCCAAATATTTTTGAGAATGTAGAAACAAAGGTTGACTTTTAAATAGTTTGGAAACTGAATGATAGTACAAGATTTAAGACATTTGCCCTGCGTGTGTCTGACCTTTGGCTCAATTCCTGGCATCACACGGTCCTCTGAACAGTGCCAGGAGCCACCCAGAAGCACAGAGCCAAGAGTGGCCACTGGTATTGCTGGGTGTGGCCCCCAATCCCAAAATAATAACAAAATATAATAATAAATAGCCTGTAAAACTGAAGGATGATAAATGAGTTCTGATTCTTTTTTTCCCCCTCAGGCACAGTATCTGTTGTCTATTTGATTTTCCTTGTCACTTGGAAGGCTAGTCATTTGGGTTTTCATTTGGAATTTCACTGGTTTGAACAAACTGAATATTTTGTGCCAGGTGAGTTATTTTGGTCAAATCATTAATACATTCCAACAAATGATTCTTAAGTTAACTGTTACCATTCTAAAAGAAAAAGTGGTACATGCAAGGAAAGCACCCTATCTGTTGTACTATTGCTCTGACCCTTGCCTTGGTTTTTGTTTATTTATTTACTTACTTTTAAAACTTAATAAGAATAGATTATGCAGTCTATGTATTTCCTGTATGCATAAACGCTCTAAACCACTACCCTGCACTATTCCTCTGGGCTCCTAGCCACGTTTTATGCTGAGCATTTGTATTAATACAAGTTATTGGAAAACCAATGGTTTTTCTTTTTAATTTAAAATATTTTTTTTATAAAGTTGTTCGTAATGATTTGTTACATTCAATATTCCAACACCAACCCCACCACCATTGCACCTTCCCAACCAGTGGTCTTTCTTAGGGGTAACCAGGATTCTGTCATTTCTTCATGGGATTTGAAGTTCATTGAAGTGACAGTGTGATTGAAACTCAAGGTCTCATTCTTTAGATTTTTCTTTCTTTCTTTCATTTTTAAAAACTATTTTATTCTCTTTTTTCTTTCCTTCCTTTTTCTCTTTTTTTCTATTCTTTAGACTTTTCTTGGAAAATATAACCCTGGAATAAATACCTGAGACTTAGAGCATGGTCAGTGGTTAATACAACTTATTAACATCTTTTACCCATATATTTTTGGAAGTTGCTATTTATCAGACTAAATTAGTTTCTATTAAATATTTCACCCCTCCTTTTTTTTTCTAAGGTAAGAACTTGGCAATTTCTTTATTTTTATACAAATTTGAAGGATTTTAGACACAATGGAAGTACTGTGAAGCTATGAATGAATGATTCTAAATGAGGAAACAGAATTAAAAATGAAAGTGACTCATCTTTAAAATGAATAAGTAGAAAATAGTACAAAATTGGCTTATAACGGTTGCTTTTTAACTTTTTTTTATCATTGGTTCATGCAGCCTAATATATCAGTTTTCTTTTAGTTTGTTTGTGAGCCACACCCAGCTGTGCTCTGGGCTTACTCTTGCCTCTGCTTAGGAATCACTCCTGGCAGGCCTCGGGGACTGTGTGTGGTGCTGGGGATCAAACCCAGGTCAGCCACGTGCAAGGAAAGTACCCTACTGCTGTACTACTACTACTGCTCTGGCCCTCGCCTTGTTTTTTTTAAAACTTAGTAAGAATAGATAATGTAATATATGAATTTCCTGTACACATAAACAGTCTAAACCGCTATTCCTGCACTATTCTGGGCTTCTAGCCACGCACACTTAGAATGTTTTTGCTAATTCACATTCCATTAGGTGCAGATTCCATGTTACCCCTCACTCATTGATACTGAATAGTGCCTTCTTTGTGTGCATGTTAGTTGATTTTCATAAACTGAACACACAGATCACAAACAGAAGTTACTGCCACTAGTGTGTTCCTTTCACTCTCCTGATTCGCAATATCATCTCCTGCAAAGGTAACCACTGCTGGAACTTCCAATCCCAACTGTTACTGTTGTCTTACTATTTTTTTTTTTTATTTACTAGCAGTAGATTAGTGTAGTGTGTATTCTTTTGTGTCTGGCTTTTTTCTGGATTTTTAATTTGTTGTTTTGATCATATTCAGTTGTGCTTTGGGGACCATGTGGTGCTGGGTCCCTCCCTCTCTAACCCCCCCCCCCCACATACACACACACATGCACATACCCTATGCCCCATTCTGGCTTTCTTATGTAGCTTTTCTCGTAGGATGGATACTTTAAAGGAGGAATTGGAGGAAGAGGTATTCTAGGTCAAGGGAATAACATGTTTAAGTCATAGTTAAGTCTGAGAAAACATCATCCATCTAGGAAACTACAAGAAATTGGATGGCTGGAATGGAAAAACACTTGTCGGGGTAGTAATAGTAGATTAAGGATTAAAAAGTCAAGGCCAGATCATGAAGAGCCTTTTGTTCTAAGCTAAAAATAGCCTCCTGGCTGTCTGTAATAGTCTTCTTTCCTCTCATTAGAGTTGGCTGTACTAGGAAATAGACTTTCTTGCCTTCAGGAAACTAACAGATAGAGGAAGAATAGTCATAAAATTACCTTTCTAAAAATAGGATTCAGAATGGGAGTCTGCAAATACAAAAAGCAAAGAAAAAAAAATCCAAGTTGAGGTCAGAGGTGCTATAACTCCATATGTTCACTCTCTCCGAGTTAAAAAAAATTTAGAAAAGCAATGATAGTAAGAGCACTGTTAGAATCTTGTTATATAGAGAGCTAAGGAATTCTAAGATGATCATTCAAAGCTGGTGAGGAGTAATTCAGTACCAGAACTCACTGCTGCTTTCTTTAATACTTCCAGTACCAACTGTGTGAATTCAATTTCTCCAATAAGCAGATATCAAATATGAGTTAGAAATGCAGGAAATGTGTTGGGAGGGTCACTTACACGGGGAGGGGCCGGAGTACAGTGAGTAAGAGGCGTGCTTTGTATACACCTGACTTGGGTTCTGTCCCCAGCACCACATATGGTCTCCTGTGCCCCACCAGGAATGATCCCTTGGCACTCAGCCAGGAGAAAGCCCTGAGCACAGTCATGTGTGGCCCAAACTCTCACCTCTACCCCCAACTGCCTAAATTTGTTCTGTTCACTGCAATGTTCGGCCCTGGAGAGATGGTTTAGTATGTAAGGCGCTTGTATTGTACACAGCTGACCCTGCACAGAGCCAGGAGAAAGCCTTAAGCATAGTTGGGTGTGACCCAAACACCAAATAAAATAGAAATAGAAAATGACAGGGTAGAGGAAGTGGAGTAGGTATCGACATCAAACCATAATGTAGGGACTAGAGTGATGGTACAACGGGTAGGGCATTTGCCTTGCATGTGGCCAACCTGGGCTCAACCCCCGGCATCCCATATGGTCCCCCAAACATCCCCAGGAGTAATTCCTGAGTGCAGAGCCAGGAGTAACCACTGAGCATTGCCGGGTGTGGCCCAAAAAGCAAAAAAATAACCAATTAAATTTTTTTAAAGAAACCCATAATGTAGCACAGGTATCTGTGAAAGGAAAGAGAATGGGCTGGGTAAGATTACACTAAGATGATCCTGCCTAACTCAGTATAAAGCTCTAGTATAGAAATTGCTTGTATAGGAATCCAGGATTGGTCACATAGGGCCACTGCTCTGCTCATTGGCTGGAACTGAGCAATGTGTCACTTCTGCTTGAATAGGTCAGCTGATCCAGTGTCAACTACAGCTCAAAGCTATCAGCTATCTGTACCTCTTGCTTCAGATTCTTACCTGAGAGATCATCTGAGTAATACACCCCCATCGTGGGTGCACCTTTAATTTTTTTTAAATCTTCTAATCAGTTATTACATAGGCATTAGATCACCAGAATTTATTCATTTCATAATTGGGATTTTATACTTTTCCCCCATTTTTTTCTCTCTCTTCCTTTTGTTGCCATCTCTTAAGTTCACGCACTCTGAAGGTCATTCCTTGTGATGCTCACACACTGGGTTTCGGTTCTCACCTGGGGCCTTAGCCTTGCTTGTGGTGCTTGCACACTGTTGCAGTGCACTGGGGCTCACCCTGTGGCACTAGGATCACACTGGCATAGTGTGATCACACCGAGCAGTGTAGGTGGTGCTGGGGATCAGACTCGTGGCTTCACAAATGCAAGATGGGTCCTTCACCACTAAGTCCCGTCCCATGTCCCAACACTCACCAGCATCTCTCCATTTTCCAACCCCTTGCCCCTGGTTCCAGCATTCTGCTGTTTCTATGATTTTGACTTTTTTTTTCTGATTCCATGTAGAAATGGTATGTGTCATAGATTATGTGTCTTTTCTAACTGTTTTCCACTTAGCATAAGGCCTTGAAGATCTGTTGATATTGTCAAGTGGCAGTGTTTCATCTTTCTCAGGACATATGTTGCATTACATATGCCACACCTTCTGTATCTGCTCATCCATTGGTAGACATTCCATATCTTGGTGGAGGGAATACAGTATCATGTTAGTCTTCATCAGGCACCAGTGGCCATGGACCTGAAGTGACCACTTGCCTGGTCATGCATTTGGAAGCTCAGGTGAGGAGCAAGTCCATAGGCATCTGCTTACATGCCTGCTGCCAAGTATACTTAGCCTCAGGAGAGCGAGTCCTTGGGCCCTGAGCTGACATTATTCTGCTTTCTCTGTCTCTCGTCTCTCTGTCTCTCTCTGTCTGTCTCTCTGTCTTTCTCTGTATCTCTGTCTCTCTGGTGTTTGGGGACACACCCAGCAGTGCTGAGGGCTTATTCCTGGCTCTGCACTCAGGGATCCCTACTGGCAGGGCTCAGCAAATTATTTGGGGTGCCAGGGATTGAACCTGGGTCATCTGCCTGTAAGGCAAGTGCCCTACCCGCTATGCTCCAGCCCCTGTTTTGCTTTCTGAATGAGAGCCCTTCCTAAGACTCACGACTGCAAGATCTAGAGAGAATGCAAAGTAGGAGTGCAGATGTAATCCTTCCCCAAGGCAGAGCAACTGTAATGAGGTCTTGATGCAGTGGCTGAAATGAGCAATGTTCCTAGACCCAGAAATGAACTGGGTGCTCTACCAGTGGCAGAGAGCACAATTCAGTACCCAACACTTGGCTCATGTGAATATTGTGCTAATGAATATGGGAGTGCAGTCATCTCTTCAAGATTCTGTTCTCATTTCCCGTGGGGAAGAGAAATTGTTTCCTGTGAGAAGAGGGATTGTTAGAACATCTGACGTTCCATTGTTTATTTTTTGATGTTCCACCATATTGTTTTCCACATTGGCTGCACAAATGTACTCACATCAAAGTTGGCCAAGGGTTTCCCTACATCCTCAAACATAACATTCTCTTGGCACTGAGAATAAAGCTCAGTGTAACAGAATACATGTTTAACGTATATTAGTCTCTGCATTCAATTCTGTACCACCACTGCTTCCCCCAAAAAACAGTTACGTTGAATATTTCTCTTGGCATCCTATTCTCTATTTTATTTATTTTCATGCTGATCTTTGTTATTTCCTTTGTTATTTTCATACTATCTTTGGACTAAATTTTTTCTTCTCTAGTTCTTTAAGGTGTCAAATAAGGTTGAGGGTTATTTTAAATGTATTTATTACTAAAAATTTGCAATTGGAACTGCTTTTGCTAAATCTCAGGTGTTTTGAGGTTTTTATTTAAAAGTTTTTTATTTCTCTAGATTTTTTCTTTCCCCAACTACTCCAAGAGCACACTGTTTAATCCCTAGGTATTTTAAATAGCATTTAAAATTTTTCCAGTTTTCTTTTAATCATTTATTTGTTTCCAGTTCCATGCCAGTATGATTTTTTAAAAAATTACTTTTTATTTTAATTTTCTGTTTCTTACAATAGTGTTATTATCTTCCTCATCCCTCCCTGTCCCTGTGAAAAAGATTTTTTATATGAGTTAAGTTTTATTAAAAGTTCAGGATGTATTTTATGGCCTAACTTGCAATCTCTTCTGGAGAATGTTCTATATGTGCTTAAAAGTATATATTCCTCTGCTGTTTGGATGGAGTGTTCTATAAATATTTGTAGTCCATCTGGTATAATAGTTTAAGTCTAGTGTTTCCTTGTTGATTTTCTGGCTTGCTAGCAATCCATTGTTGAAAGAGTGAAATACTGAAGTCCCATATTATTATTGTTATTTCTATCTCTGTTCAGATCTGTTAATACTGGCTTTTAAAAAATGTTTTAGTGCTCTGATGTTGGGTGCATAAATATTTATAAATGTTTTATCTCTTGACAAAATCTTAAACTGTTTGCCATGGTTCTTAATTGTAATGAATCACTCTACGAGGTTTTCTCTGTTGCTTTCACAAAGGTCATTTTCACCAGATTTTTTGTTGTCATCAATTTATTTAGATTGATTTTGTGTTTATCACAATGGAACTCCACCAACTTGATGTATATAGACTTACCAAAGTTGAGTGCACGCCCACAAATATAGGCTTGGCAGTTATCTAAGGCTGTGGTATTTTCATAAATGTGGGCCATTATGGCTGAAGACAATCTTCGGCATATCTGGTAGAACAGTATTAACATCCATTACATCTCCAGCAGCAGTGCCTTCCCCAGAAATGATAGTGGGTTATAGGTGGAACCAAATAAAACCAAAACCTGAATGTACCTGACCGTTAGCCATTGCAGACTTGACAGTGGCAGAGAAAGAGACCCAATATTCATTTTCTACTGGCTAATTTTAATGTGTTTCCCCCCTCTCTCTTTTTCCCCTAGAGATTAGATTTCAGTTTCCACAGCTGACTGGAGTGCTCACCCTGGCTTTCTTTATTCATAATTGTGTTATCACACTCTTGAAAAACAATAAGAACCAAGAAAACAATGTGAGTAATTACCTGAGAACTTCCATTTTATTATTGAATCTTTCTTTCTTCCTTTATTTATTCTAAATTGAATTACCATGAGATACAGTTACAAAGCTTTTGTGTTTGAGTTTTAGTCAAAAAATGATCAAACACCCATCGCTCAACCAGTATTTTCCACCACCAATGTCCCCAATATCCCTCCTGCCACCCCCAACCTACCCCACTCCCTGCTTCTGTGGCAGACAAGTTCCTCCTTACGCTCTACTTTTGGGCATTATGGTTTGCAGTACCAGATACTGAGAGGTCATCATGTTTGGTCCTGTATCTACTTTCAGGACACATCTCCCAGCCTGAGTGGTCCCTCCACCATCATTGACTTAGTGATCCCTTCTCTATCCCAGCTGCCTTTTCCCCCAGATCATGAGGCAGGTTTCCAACCATGGATCAATCTTCTTGGCCCTTGTCTCTACTGTCCTTGGGTGTTAGTCTGATATTATGTTATTTCATATTGAATCTTAATTTGAAACAGAACAGTGACCAACAGATATTTTTTCTGTAAAGATTCAGGAGGTAAGTATTTTACGCCTCATGGTCTGTATGGTCTTCATTACATTTACCCAACTCTGCTGGCTGTGGTGATAGGAAGTAGCCATTATGCAATAAAATGGGTGGTAGCTGTGTTTTAATAAAAATTTTGAGCTACTCCCAGCTCACAGCTTACTCCTAACTGTGTTCAGGGGACAATTTATGGTGTAAGGGATCAAATTTGGTTCAATTACATGCAAAGCAAGCTCCCTATCTGCAGTACTAACTTCACCATTCCCCAATAAAATTTTTATTTACAAAAATAGATAGCATACTAGATTTCGCTCTTAGGCCACAGTTTCCAATTTCTGCTATAAGAGCAATCCCTTTTTGATTAATCAGTCAATTTTACATGCATCTGAAAGAAATTTGAAGATGTGAAATTGTACCCCTAATTTAAAGTCTTACAAACCATTGCTTCTTAAATAAAATATAAATACAGTTATATTCAAAAATTAATAGGTATCACATAACAATAGTGACAGAAAGTTTTTAAAAAATTCCTGTGATTGAGATGGAAGCCAGAGAGGCTGGAGCAATAATTGCACAGCAGGTAAGGTGTTCGCCTTGCACACGGCCGACTCAGGTTAGATTCCCAGTATCCCATATGGTCCCCTGAGTGCTGCCAGGAATAATTCCTGAGTACAGAGCCAGGAGTAACCCTTGTGCATTGCCGGGTGTGACCCAAAAAGCCAAAAAAAAAAGAAAGAAAGAAAAAAGAAACCAGAGAAGTAAAAAAGAAAATAGAAGTGGAAAAATGAAAAACAGCAAGATAGTGCTTATTTATTTGGTGGGAGAAGCATGTTGAGCCATACCTGGCAGTATTTGTGGATGACTCAGGATTAGGGATTTATGTGGTGCCGGGGATTGAACCAGAGTTATCCACTTATAAGGCAACCTCTGGGCCATCTTTCTAGCCCTAGAAAAATAGTATATTTAAACTCAGTCACACTGATAATCACATGACACTGTCCTCCCGTTGTTCATCAGTTTGCTCGAGCAGGCACCAGTAATGTCTCACAACAAATCATGAGACTTGTTGTTACTGTTTTTTGGCATATCGAATACATCATGGGGAGCTTGCCAGGCTTTGCTCGTGCGGACGAGATACTCTTGGTAACTTGCCGGGCTCTTTGAGAGGGGCAGAAGAATCAAACCCGGATTTGCCACATGCAAGGCAAATGCCCTACCCCCTGTGCTATCACTCCAGCCCCGCTGATAATCACATTAAATAAAAATAACCTAAAGCAATTAAAGGCTAGCATAGAAAATTATGGTATCTACAAGAAATTTTCTTTAAATATTGAGTTGTAACATGCAGACAACTAATCAAAAAAAAAAAAAACTGAAAGAGACTTTTAATACCAAAGTGCACTTCAAGACATTGTTAAAAATAAAGATAATGTGGGAGCCCTTTGTTTGAGCCCAAGTACCACACGTACAACACTGCCAGGAATAGCCCTGAACACCACGCTGGGAGTAGCTCCTGGGAGCTGCTACCAGGTGTGGCCCGAAAGTACACAAAAAATAATAGTTTACCCCCAGAAAAATATATAACTGAACCATATAAATTTCTTTCTACTCATGGCACAAGATTTTAACATTAACACTAGCTCCTCACCAACAGTTTAAGAAGTCCATTCATTGTTTTATAAGAATCATAATTGGCATATTCTTGTTAAATTGCTCACCCTCCTTTATTTAAGGATAAAAACTTATGGGTTAAGTGTGAGTATAACATGAGACTTCATTAGAAGTATTTTGTATTTTTATTTTTGTTTTGCTATACGCAACAGTGCTCAAGTGTCTATTTCTGTCTCTTTGTTCAGGAGTGACCCCTGACATGATGGGGATTTGAACAAGGGCAAGTGAGATGCAAGACATTTGATCTTAACCCTTCAGCTATCTCCCTGGTCCTGAGATGGTATTCTTAACCCTCAGATTTCCAGGCATACAAGGTGATTTTCAGTGATTAAGGAGACTTTGGTGCTAAAGTTTGAGAAGCACAGGCTTATGGAGAGAATGATACAATCCATGAGAATCGTTACTTTCAAAGTGGGTTGTTTGACCTAAGTTGGCATAGGAGGGCTATTTATTAGGATAGACAGATGACTTCGTTGGCGTCATTTCAAGGATGGCAACATTTTCAGCTTCTAATGTACACCAGATACACTTCGATGACGTACATACTATTTTCTGTGAAGATGAAGTAGGTATTAAAAACAAATAATACTCTTAAGTTTAGTAAAGCTTGAGGTAGGCAGTTTAATTCAACTGGCAATAAGTTAGGGAATTTGTAAAAGGGGATTTTATCCCTCAATTTCTTCTCTACATATCCCAAAGTTCCCGATGTTTACTTAGGATAAGTAAGATTTCCTTCTCATTTTTCCTCACAGGCTTTAAGACTATTAATGACAAAAGTGCAAATGCAATAAGAATAAACATTTTCAAGATAAATACCAAATCTAAAGTGGAAGGGAAGATAAAAACTCTAAAAATACATTTGCCTAAAAAAAAAGGTATGAGAAACTGATAAGAGAACTTAACAAGAGAACTTAACCCTTAAGTCATCCAAAAGTCATGACAAAAATAGAAACAAGATTATATGACCCGATTGTTAATAAGAATGAGGTCCATTTAGCAGAAACTCTTTCCTAGGCCTATCCTGAAGATGAAGAAAAGTTTTACTCCAGCCTCTGAATAAAGGATGGTGAGCAATTTAATGATCATATACCAATTATGAATCTTATGAAACAATGAAGTATTGTTCTATGTATGGGTTTCTTGAACTGTAGGTGAGAAGCTAGTATTAACCTGAAGTCTCATGTTCATGTTGACACTCTTGTGCTAATAATTAGCCTTTCTAAAAAATAATCTTAAAGTTAACACATTATAGGTTTGTAGTCATTCACTTTGTATGATTTCTCTATGTGTGAATTTCAAGTACTTTGGTTAAATTAATAACTTTTTTCTAATAATACGGTTTTCTAATAATTTTTTAAAATTTTCTAATAATTTTTTCTAATAATACGGTTTTCTAATAATTTTCTAATAATACGGGCTGGAGCGATAGCACAGCGGTAGGGCGTTTGCCTTGCACGCAGCCAACATGGCCAACCCGAGTTCGATTCCTCCGCCCCTCTCAGAGAGCCCGGCAAGCTACCGAGAGTATTTGCCCGCATGGCAGAGCCTGGCAAGCCACCCGTGATGTATTTGATATGCCAAACACAGTAACAACAAAATCTCCAATGGAGATGTTACTGGGCCCACTCGAGCAAATCGATGAACAACGGGAGGTCCTTTTAATAATACAGTATAAATTGATAACTATATGATATAATTGAGCTGCTACAGGATTAGAACTATGAGTCTTTGTTAAGAGTGGTATCTGCTGCAGCTGGGAGGTGACTTGCTGTCTCAGACACCAGCCTTGTATGTGTAGGGCCATGAGTTTTATCCCCAGTACCACTGCATGTGCCAGGCACAGCTCTGGTCTCTCTGCTCTTCTGACCCCCAATACCACAAACACTTTCTCGCCACACCATTGCCAGGTGTGCGCAAGCTTCAAAGCATGATATGTGACCTCAGGCCCCCAACCAGGTGTGCATGCCCTACAGCCAAGCATTTATGCAGCTCCTGTCATAGCACCATCAACAGAGGGAAGGGAAGAGAAAAATTGAGTAGCCCCTTCGATTTGCAGCTCAGTGCAAAATAGTACAAATCCTAGTTACATCACTTCTTTCCGAGGTCTGTCAGTGATTGTCACTGTACATATATTTTTCAAAGCAACGGTAGGGCTTGTGTCCTAGTTTCCCAGTAATGAGCCCATATGATATTTTGCAAAATTGGAGAATTAAAAGCTAGGGCAGACAAAGAGAAATAAATCAAGACAAAGTGCTATCATCAAATACAAAGCAATAATGCTGGCAATTAGACTTGGAGTCACTAAAGAGATAGCTGACTGAGGAAATGATGGTACTGTTGCCTTTTGAGAGACTTTGGGTGTGTAGCCAGAGGAACTTCAGGAAGGTGAACCTATCAGTATGTATGTGAGATATGGTTGTGAAGGGGAAAATGCATATGTCCCAGAGAAAGGGACTCTGTCCCCAAACTCACATCGAAAGAATTCTCAGAGCTGCTTCCTCTCATTGAAGCACAAAGGAATAAAACATTGGCCAACAGTGCACATAGGGAAGAAAGGAGTGCGGTAGAGTTCCATGGCAAAAACGCTTGCTTATATTCTTTGTTTTATTTTGAGAGGTAGGAGTCTCAAGTTCAAACTACTGTTAGTAAGTTCTTACAAAAAAGGTCGAATACTTGAATTCACACCATTTCTGATGTTTTCATTTGGCTAGTGAATCAATACTAGTTTTCCCATTGGTTCATTTTTCTTCCCATTTTAACCAACAGTGAGAGTTGTTAATGTTTTAGCA